GGATACGGGTGGCCTCAAGGGGGCAAAGGGCGATATCGGCAAAGAACTCTGCGAGGGCAGAGGCTCCGAGGTAGACTGCGGTGCGGTTCTGGACGGCAGTGTCGTATCCGACAAGGTTGACGGCCTGCTTCTTGAAAAGCTCGTATCCTCCGAACTTGAAGGCACCCTGGAGGAAGTATCCAGCGACTGTGGGTCCGAATCCGGTGAGAAGAGCTCCAGCTCCCTCAGAAGAAACGACTTGGCGGAAAGCGGGGATCATGCCCTTGTTGTAGACGGTGGGCTCAAGCTGGATACGAGTCTTGATGCTATAGAGGATGCATTAGCCACGGCACAATTGGAAAGTGTCACCGTCGGCAAAATTGCCGTGATGGTCGACAATATCTATATCGACGAGCGGGCAAAAGACAACTTACACATCGACGGGCGTCAACGCTCCGTGGGTGATACCGCAGCATACGGCACCGGCCAAGGCGAACCTGCTGTAGAGGGCAATGCCCTCTGGCTTCTTGGAGATGGGAGTAGCGATGGCGGCCATTGTGACGGAGTGGGGAGTTCAGATGGTGGTGATCTGGAAAAGGGATGGGGGATGGAGGAGCGGAGAGGAGAGTGGAGATGGAGATGGTGAGAAGAGAGGAGATGAGGGCGGGCTGCTAGCCGGGAGGGTTGTCTAGAGGGGACGTCGGAGAAGGTACGGCAGGGCGTGGGGGGGGTGAGGGACTTAATAATTCGGACGAGGGGGCAGCCGGGGAGCGAGCGTACGAGACCACGCAGCCTGTTCTCTTCCGGTAGTGCTGCCTTACCGGCAATACCCTTCCTAAACAATCCAGGGCGAGAAAAAAAAAAGAATGAAAAAAAAAGCCTCTCGGCGCCAGGGTCCTCTCACGTGACGGCGAATTATCTGCATGGGTGGACGGACAGCTCCGCGCGTAACTCCGCCGGCTGCGGGAAGCGACGGGAAATCACGGGAAGGCCCACTGACGTCGGCCGTTAGCCTCGTCGGCCGTGATGCCCGGCGATAGCTTTGGCAAACATTTGATAGACGTGAAATTGACGCGGGATGTTGACGGCATCTCTACAAAAACAAAAAAGGGCTACTCGCACCTCGAAATCTCCTGAATGTCCAACAAGACTCCCGCCCCATTGACCCCACTACCCCACTACCCCACCACCACCACCACCACCAACATGGCTGCCATCAACTTCGGGGAGGATGACTTCGAATTCGCTCAAGCCCAACATCAAACGTGCGCAGATCGCTGGTGCCCGCTGAAACAGGGACAGAAACAGTACCAGTGCCCGCAACGGGCGAGTTTCGTTTCACCTTCCATTGTGACCCACGATTATAGCTTCCCGTCATCGAACTCACGCTCACATTGTCGCTACCTTCTCCGCTCCACCCAGCATTCCCCACATCACTGAGATTCTCTTGCTCATCACGCAGCCCACTCAATGGGAACCCTTTCGGGCTATTTTTGAGGGCGAACTCTGCATCTTCCGACCGCTCTTTCCAGTCAGACATCCCGAGGACACTGCCACTACCTACAGTAGCTGCGGTCTCGCTAATACCCAGTTGCTCACGCATTATATCACTGGGAGTGGGAGATGGCGGGGGTGTTGGGAATCCGGGCAGCATAGACGAGATTGAATCCGCCTTTGGTTTTGGGACATGCGGAGGGGGTGAATACTTGCGCAAAAGCTCCAGGGGTTCAATGTCCACCGCCGGAGGAGGAAACACAAATTGTGGATTCTGCGAAATTCCACGATTCGAGATTGAGATTCTACTACCACTGAGGCTGCCCCCAGGTAGTACATCAACTGGTAGTTGTAAAGAATAAGACATCTCGTCGTCATCAGAGGCTGTGTCGGATGAAGAGGTGATATAATATCTAGGGGTGTGTAGCGCAACTGGAGAGTTCATGGATTCCTGTTTTGAGCTTGATGACCGAGAGCCTCTAGAAAGAGTTCCTGGCGCGCTCTGTGTTGCAGAAATTGGTGCAGAGATTGGGCCAATCTCTGCCTCACTCTTTACCCTTCGAGTAACAGCTGGTGGGGTGACCATTCGCTCCTAGAAGAAAATGGTTAGTTTTTTGCATGCAGATTTCAGTTGGAACAACCCACAGCATCGCTTAACGCCAGGTCTCCTTCACTATGAGTCTTTCTGCTTCCTTCACTCAAATCCTCTGCATTTGCAGTATGCCCAAATCTCACCAGCACATGACCAACTTCTCTCTCACCTTCTCCATGAGGATGATGATGGATACTGTCAACAGTATGGCCACCTCCACATTTCCCGCCATTCACGAAGCATTCACCGCAAATATACCCCTTGCCATTAGTACAACCTTTACATCTCCACCATACTCCATCTTCCAACCTTCCAACTTCCTTTTTGCAAATCACACAATTCGCTTTGCCCATGCCAACCACTGGAAGAATCCCCAATAGCGCGGTATGGGCCGCGAGATATGTGCCAGTGTGTGCATGCAAAATTCCACCATTAGGTGGAATGGCTCCATCTAAACTTCCAGGATTCAAAACCTCAAACATCTGGATAGTCAAACTCGCAATTTCGTCCTTTGTGGAAGACGAGCTATCTTCCATCTCGGCGTTGAGCCACTCCAACAGCCGGTCTTCATTGGTCTTCAAGTGCTCCGGAATAGCCATTGCCCGAGAGACGCGAGTACGAAGCCATGACTTTGCAGAGTCTCGATCATGTTGAAGTGTACGTTTCGACCGCGAGCCGGTTACTTGGGATTCCGGGACACGAACGCTCCCACGGGCAGACCCGAATGTTCGACTCTCGAATCGGTGGTGGCGATTAGCATCCCGTGGAGCTGTGTTCAAGGTAGACTCAAAAGCACCATCATACCCCCCAAAGGATGCCGAAGCTGAAGATGGCTCATCGCGCTCCTCAATATCCTTCAGGTCATCCATCTTTTTCAAGTCATCTTCGCAGGTCTTAACAGCACCAACCAGACTCTTCAAAAGCATATCAAAGCTCTCGAGCGTCTTTACCGGTGGAACTTCGATCTGAAGATACATCCAAAGAAAATCAGCATAAGAAAACTTCATAATTATAATCGTCGTGGCAGGGAAAAAATCAGAATGAATACCTCTGAGATATCCCTCCTCCCAGCCTCCTTACTCTTCCTCACCAACTTCCCCAACTGATACCAAAACCTCTGCTCCAAAAGCCGCTTCAGCACATCCTCTCCATCATGCATGGTCCCAACCCCAATCCCCCACTCGGAATGTACCCTCCCACAAATGGGATACGTGATTGCACGAGCAAGTTCACAACCCACCAAGGGCGGCGTCTCAACTCGTGTCTCTCGATCACCTGCTGCATCCGTCTTATTCAGCTCATTAAAACCACTTTTCTCTCCATTTTCAGCTTCAGTTTCATTCTCCTCAATTCCAGGGCCAGCAGAATGGACCAAAATATCCTTCTCCATAGCCCCATCGATCCCAACTTCAATCACCTCCCACCCTTCATCCCTCCGTCCACCCCTACTCTCACGTGCACCCTCCTCCACACCCTCATCAAAATCACCATCGCCATCTGAGTCCCCCTCCAATCGACACCAATACCTCACCTCCTGCGGCGCCTGATATCGATGAAGACCATTCTCGGGGGCAAAACACACATCCACATGGTACCCACTCCCCGCATCTGTATCCCTGAGCCCAGCCGTAGTCATTGATCCCTCTTCATCACTTGAAAGACCCACAGAAACTAAACTCCCCTCTCCCGCCTCCTCCCCCATCGACTCCATCGACACTACCTCGCTTTCAGCGGAAGCAACACCTCCATGAATATCCAGTACACAAACTTCGATGCCGCGATCCTGTATCCTAATTTTTGGGCTTTGGGTGGTGGTGAGCGTGGGAGATTCATGTGTGGAATGTTGCCAGTGGCTATGAAGCGTGTTTTCTGGGCAGCCGCGGTAATTGTCGTGAAAGACGTCGCGGGAGGTGGAGGAGAGGGTTGTGGATGATGAGGAGGATGGTGAGGGAGTTGAAATGGGAAGAGAGAGAGTAAGTGTTGGAGTTGGAGTTGGAGTTGGGGTGGTGGTGGTGGTGGTGGTGGTTAAGATGGAGGCCTCGGGATATGGATCCGTATCTGCAGCGGTGAAGATGGGGTGCCGGTACAGTCGACAAGCTGTTTTTTCTTGTTGAGTTTGGGCTTGTGGCTGTGGATGAGGGGTTGAGGTTGGTCCCTCTGCTGAGTGATTTCTAACTTGATCTTCAACTTCGACTTCAGAACCGAGTTTCCCGCCTGTACTTCTACCTTCTTTCTCAGCACCGGAAGGTTGGAGATCTTCTTCAAAAGTCTCAGTACCAGCCCCAGTTGCCGCGAGAGCCTGCTCACTGATATCCTCCACACTCTCCACCGTCGGACGAGGAGGAGGCAGAGAAGGTTCCTGTCCGTCCTGCACGTCAAGTATATCTCTTTTCTCTTCCTGGTCCACGGGTGGAGACAAAGACATGATCATGCCGCCTCGAACTAAACATAGACCACTGGGGTATTCCATTTGCTTGCGGTTCGGGCAGACGTTAGGAGGCTGGGTAGGAACTCGATGTGTGGTATGAATTCATGGGGCTGCGTGCACCGTTACCGCACAGTATTGCACTTTTTGGGGGCGGGCTGGAGAAAGGGTAGAATGATTGAATGAGTGAGTGAGTGGGTGGTGAAGTTGCGAGTTTGTGGAGTTGAGTAGGTGCCCAGCACATCAAAAGATTGCCGGCCCTTGAGCTGGCTGCCCTTGAGAATTGGACTTGAAGGCTAATAGGGAGATTTTAAGCTCGTGCCCGGGAAACAAGACAAGCACCTAAAGTAGTACTTCCTAAGGTAGTAACCCCCCCCCCCCACCAACAATCGACTTCCGCATTGGGAACATTTCTACCTCACACATTCTTCGCATTCCCGACGAGCCCCACGCGCATAAATTGCTGTGCTCAAAGAGCACAAACCACCTCCAAAGACATCAAATAAAACTGCTCCGTTGGTCTAGTGGTATGATTCTCGCTTAGGGTTAAACCCTGAGTACTTTCGAGTTTGCGAGAGGTCCCGTGTTCAAACCACGGATGGAGCCATTGATTTTTGGTTTTTTGGTTTTTTGTCTGTTGTCTCTTTACATTTTTTATTTTCTTGTGCGTTTTTAATTTGGTTGATACAGATGTCGTGCGATGCTAAACAAACCTCTTTTTATTTTTATTTCTCCTTCGTTACGAAGTGTATAAGCAGCTAGGGGAAAAAAGGTTTGGATCCGCATTTTCGGATATGAATATTTGTTGAATGTAGAATCTTTAGTATACATGATTTCTACATTGATCAAACGAAGCATCAAAGTCACCGATCGCATTACATATAATACTGTAATCTGTAATAACTCGGTGAAACTTATAAATCCGAGTATTAAAATCTTACTTGTGCTCTACCTAGGTATATATGCACATTTCAAACAAAACATGATCACTGTCTCTTCTTACTCGTATGATAGGTATGTCTTTCCAGAAGCAATACGACACCGAGATTACACATCTGGCCACCCTTAGTATACCTGGTGGGACTTATTCTTATACAGGGTATGCTTATATACGTATTACCAGGAACATGTGTTCATGCTTGCCCTCAAATGCATCTGCGACCATAGACTGAAGAACACGAGGCATCCCGTCCGCTCTGCCATATCTAAGCTTCAGATCGCCAGGCTAGTACTGTAGTGGGTGACCATACGGGAATCCCTGGTGTCGCAGGTGATTAATTCTATGTTTTTACATTTTTTGTTCACGAACGTCGTGACACATCGAAATGCCCACGACGAATCCGCCCTGTGGTCGAGTGACTGAAACTCGCTCTTCTTACTCGTATGATAGGTATGTCTTTCCATAAGCACTACGGCTACACCGAGATTTACACATCTGGTTACCCTTGGTATACCTAGTGGTATATACTTACAAAGTAACTCTATTCGATCTTCAAAAACCTTCTTAGTTACATATGAAGAAGTAAGTACTCAAGTATCTATCCAGTGAAAGTCGGCGGTGGTGTACTCTACAGTACTGGGCGGTCGGTATATCAGGAGATATAAGGCTTCTCTACTTCTCAGACCCGCAGATCTTGAGCTCATGCATATGGCTGATCATGATCATGACCCCAGCCCAGCCCAGCCCGCAACAAACAAGGCGCGGCTTCCATGATTCGAGATGCTTAAGTTTATGCAGATCAGGTCTAGGGTATACTACTATTCTGCCTTAAACGGTAATCGCCTTGAGATCAGTAATGTTCCATATTATTCTACTTCTTACCTTGCATACATATTACGCCTTGGTCCGGATATCTCTACTTCTAGAATTATAACCCACGTATACATAAGCGTTGCGTTTTTATTGATTTGAAGATTTTGCCTTACACTAATTCATGTTCATGAAACATCCAGCTGCAGCTGGTAGTTGTACATTATCCACCACCGAACACTGGGGTCGAGGCTACACCGAACCTTCACGATCGATTGCTTGCCGCTTTTCTATAGACAAAAACCTACTTTATTCTTGAGAGAAAATCATGGTTATGGTCAGTGGGGTTGCATCCATGGGTACTTGCGCATGTACATGTAGAGTACATATACAGCTATCACAACAAGCTATAAAATATTCGGCCCCGCTCTCCCAGTCCACCATGGCCAGAAAGCTTTCATGAATCAAGGAACTCAGAATTAGGCAAAGATTCGAAAACGGTACTTCTTAACGAGAGGTACCATTGCCTTAAACTCCCAAGGTTGAAGGTTGAGCAAGTCAAAGGATTGAAGTAGCCATGATAAACTATCTGAACACCACTTACCGAGCTCTTGCAAATCATGAACATCCCGGGCACAACCCCCCACCATCTTCTTCGTTGCCTCATGCATGGCAAGGCTGCACCGTCGAAGCAGGAAGTCCTTCGCAGTAAGATAGTGCTTGGTGTACATAATTATAATTCAAATGTTGTATATCTTAGAGGAGATCTGTTAACGTTTGCCATGGCCTGGGCATGTCGGATAGATAGGTACTTGATAGCCATCTGACATGCATGTATGTGCACTGCCCAGTCGATGTAGAGTACCTACTGATAGGAGGTAAGGATATGTGATAATGATCAAGAGGTTGAATTGGTTTCCCTGCGACTTAAGGTTGCTCTAGTGCACGTTGCTTACCATGACTGATTTTTCTCTTTTATTGGCACACGAAGAACAATCATTATATGCACTAGATTAAAAAAAAAGCATTGCAACTAATTGCAACTTGGGCGGCAGATACCTATAGCCCTTTCTCTATCAGAACCGGCCAAACAAAAATAACAAAAAAAACTTGTAAAACAGACAACAGCCAGTGAGTCGACCGCGGCTGGGCCTCATGCTCAAATTTAAGGGAATTCCTACCGAAGCATATAAGAAAACTTGTGATGTAGATAGCCTCGTCCCTCATGTAGAGCATACCTATGTAAGTACTAAAGAGATGATATCGATCTTGTGTCACCACCAGCGAGCGGATCCAGAAACCGGATCCCAAAAAAGCAAAAAACAGCTACATAACATGTAGAGTACAAGCGCTATCATGCATACAAATCTCTTATATAACTCCCCAGCTAGAAGAGCTCTATATCGATGTATACTACAGTTACACGCTGACGCCCGTTATTATTTTAACGGAACACTTGCAATTGGATGACACATTTATGATCATGACCGGCCGGCCCCCAAGCAATAGCAACATTCTAGAAGGATTTTCAGAACATGTAATCTTGCAATCTAGATCATCCAATTAATCGATAGGGCGCGCGCGAGGACGTCGAGCTGAATTCGAAACAGCTCTAGAGTTCTGCAACCTATAAAATATAAAGTACCTAGGTAGCTTAGTATAAGTACATAGGTAGGTAGGTAGGTAGCTGATAATATGTTAAGTATATAAACAGATATTAATTATCTAGATTAAAATGAAGTATATATAAAAGCAAATGGCGCATGCAATTGCCGCGCCCCAATCATGTCGCTACTGAGGTAGCTGAGCACTGTACATAAATGTCGACCTGAAGATATTTCGATATTAATTTGCGATTAGATCGCGAATAATTTGTGTCTGGAGTACTAGTCTAGAGTCTAGAGTCATCATACCGTAAAATCTCGCGAAAAAGACCGTACTCAATGTTCAGACCATACTGGCGAATAAGATCCTAGTTTTGGCAGTCATTTAAGACCTGCAAAGGACTCGTGGAAAAGAGTGGTTCCGTGAAAAAGACCCTAACTAGTAAAAGATTATGAATTATATTGCCTTTTTCTTACCAGTATAGCTTTTTCTTTCACTTGAAATCCCCTAAAAAAAAATAAGAAAAATATCCGGGCCACGATATATACTAGCTTCACTTTTAAAAAAGGACTCGCCAAAAAGACCCCCTTTGTGAATAAGATCCTAGTAGCCCATCTCAATTTGCAGTTATCTCGGTATAAGACCTGATCTTTTTCGCGAGATTTTACGGTATGTCACTATATTTATAGCCGCTGAATTCATTAACCAATAGCCAGGCCGTAATCATACTAATTTGTATCGAAGCACAGCAGACAGCATTTTTTTATCATTACAAACCTATTTTCTATGTTCAAGTATTATGCACCAGGCATCGATCGATATCGCGTTAGTCGACCTCGTGGGCGTCGGTGTACAGGCGCTTCGCCGGCTATATTCTGAATCTGGCAGTCGAAAATTCAGAAGCATTTGGTCATGAATGGTTCGCGGGCCACCAGCTGCAGGCTCACAGTTTTGAGTGCCATGCATGCTGTTAGGCACTTACTAAGGTAGTTCCTATCTAAATCTCTCAGTACTTTCAGAATGTGACGTGGGATAGTTATCGATATTGAGCTCTTTAGGACAATGGATCTCTAGATCTATAGCTGGATCCATCTTGAGTGTAACCAAGCAGGAGGATAACCTGTACGTACATGTGATTCTAGCAGTTTTTTTTGTTTCATTAGAAATATGTTGGATCCAAGCTATAAAACTAAGCCGAAATTTCGTCTTTGTGGAGTGTAAAATTTAAAGTATTCCGTGGATCCATATGAAGGAGGTACGTTCAACGTTATCCAAATTGATGCATTTATGTATCGAGAATCGAACTCTCGGATTTCAAACAGCATCCATATCTTATCCCCCCAAATATATGATCTGGTTCCGATCCAATTGATGGCCATGGCATGACCAATATGATACTTTCTTCCTTATAAACAACAGAATGAGCGGCGATAAATATTTCACTCCCCCTCCCTCCTAAATTTACCTGGGTTCAGCTCGGCCGGGCTACATCACCAGTGCAGCACTATAGATATCGATCAATCCAGGTTCTTCTGTGTCCAATTGCCACGGAACTTTCAGCCTTCCTTCCATCTTAAGTAACAATTGCAACATTGATTCCAATCTTGCAATCCCCGGTAAATTATATTGCAGATATATTATGCTATGCGAGGTTCCTTACTATAGCTACAAGTATCTTAATTAAATCTTAATAAGTATATAATTATCTCCAGATTAGGAAAGAGCTCGAAGTAGGTATATACCTGGTATATGGCTTCGAGAATCTTGCATGCATCGGGGATGTCCGAGTGCATGGCTGCAATTGCAATATTGATGCTGAATGATACTCGAGTATAGGCACGGCCGGTAGATCTAGACATCGATGTGGATGCCATATGCATGTATGTAAATAATAAAGCGTGAAGTATTATAACATACTTTCATTTTGTGTATGGGACTTGGTTGATCATGATAAGAGATTTGTATATAAATGTACCTTAATTACAACCTCGAGCTCGGCTTCAGCGCCTAGATCTCTTGCATCGATATCAAGGCTTTGAATTTGGATTTGACGACATCAACCATCCAATCATCCAATCATCCAATCATCCAATCATCCAATCCTAGGATATCAATATTAGAAAGATTACAGTATGGCCGGCCATCGGATAATTATAACCGAGCACATATTCTTCACAAGGCAGGTAGTTATTGATGTAGAAGGAAGTACCTAGCGCTATATAGGGTCAGTATATAAGTATGATGATTATAA